GATATGGTTGGCGGCCGCGGATCTCGAAAGGAATCACGGCTCCAAGGACGATCTATGGGCCGTCCTCGAGAAGGCTGTTAATGCCGTGCCTCGCAGCGAAGTTCTGTGGATGATGCTTGCCAAGGAGAAGTGGCAGGCCGGAGAAATCGACAACGCCCGCCGCGTTCTGGCCAGGGCGTTCCAGCAGAATCCAAACAACGAAGATGTCTGGCTCGCGGCTGTGAAGCTCGAAGCGGAGAACGGCCAGATCGGACAGGCACGAGGTCTCTTGATGCAAGCTCGCCAGGAAGCTCCGACAGATCGTGTCTGGATGAAGAGCGCCGTCTTCGAGCGACAGCTGAATGACCTAGACGCCGCGCTCGACCTAGTCCAGCAAGCTCTTAACCTCTTCCCCACATCTGCTAAGCTCTGGATGATAAAGGGCCAGATCTACGAAGACTTGGACAAACCGCTGCAGGCCCGCGAAGCCTATAGCACGGGCGTCAAGGCGGTACCGAAGTCAGTTCCTCTCTGGCTGCTCTATTCCCGCCTAGAAGAGAAACTAGGTCAGTTGCCCAAAGCTCGTTCCGTGCTCGACCGTGCGCGCCTCGCCGTGCCGAAATCGGCCGAGCTGTGGTGCGAGTCGATCCGCGTGGAGCGGCGCGCGCAGAACACCAAGCAAGCCGAGTCGCTCATGGAACGCGCGCTCCGCGACGTGCCGAAGCCGGACCAGGGCGTCCTCTGGAGCGAGAAGATATGGCACCTGACGGCGCGGCCGCAGCGCAAGCCCCGCGCGCTCGAGGCCATCAAGGAGGTGGACAACGACCCGGCGCTGCTCGTGGCGGTGGCGCGCATCTTCTGGAGCGAGCGGCGGCTCGAGCGGGCGCAGAACTGGTTCGAGAAGGCCCTGGTGCGCGACTCGGACCTCGGCGACAGCTGGGCCTGGTACTACAAGTTCCTCCTCGAGCACGGCACCGAGGACAAGCGCCAGGAGGTCATCAGCAAGTGCGTCGGCGTCGAGCCGCGCCACGGCGAGGCCTGGCAGCGCGTCGCCAAGAACCCGCGGAACGCGCAGAAGGGCGTCGAGGAGGTTCTGAAACTCGTGGCTGCAGAGCTGCAGTAGGGCGGGACGGGTTGGTAGTGATGAGGGACTGGCGAGGGTTACTACTACTACTACTTAGGTTAGGTATTCTATGGTCAGGGGAATTCATGGGTAGTGACTAGGATTCGTAGTCTTACAATGAAATTCGATTAAAAATGCAGACTTCTCCGGATTGGCTGTGAGAAAATCATAACTTTATCGGTATCATGTGAGCGAGTTCGTGAAGCGTGAGGTAGGTAGGTATCTACAAGCGACCCGAGTGCCAAATATGCCTAATGGATCTCATCCCCCTCCCCTTGGCCTGGGTATAGTCTTCCCCGTACCATCTCGTCTATAATGTAGGCTCCATATGCCAGGTTCCTTGTCAACTTAGGTAGATATGTCCTTCACCCAAAGTACAGATTTATCGGCAAGTGGTGATACAGCTGATAATCGAACTCCTGGCTCCACTCCAGCACGAACATCTTGGTTAGCGCCACCACGGCCTGCGCGTCCAACTCCTTCACCTCGCTCACATCCGCCCGGCGCCAGAACATCACCTCGTCCAGCCTCGCCACGTCCCAGTCGCCCACGTACACTTGCACGATATCTGCGACTACGCGCACTGCGTCGCCGGAGTTGCCTGTCCCCGCTAGCACCGCCGCCGCCGCCATCGCCCCCATGTTGTCCCGCACGAACGCCGCGTCCCACCCGCGCGCGCGGAACACCTCGGGCCGCGCGGCCACGGTGGCGCGCAGCAGCGCGGCGAGCGACGCGCGGTGCGCGCCCATGATGCCGCCGCCGTACGCCAGCAGCACGTCTCGCAGCCCCCGGTGCAGGCTCCACGACAGCGCCGTCCACGGCAGGCTATCGAGCGCCTGCGCCAGCACGCGGGCCTCGTGCGGGGCCACCAGCAGGCGCACGGTGCGCGCGCCCGTGGCCTTGCAGGGCAGGTGCAGCGTCCGCGTCCGCGTGCCGTCCTCCTCTTCCGCCGCAGCAGCAGCGTCGTCGTCGTCCACCGCGCGCGCCGACAGGAAGTCCACCTGGAACGCCTGCCCGCCCATCATGTTGTACAGGTGCCGGCCGCTGTGCGCGTTCTGGAAGCCCTTGACGGCGTGCTCCAGCCGGTACGTGCCCGCGGGCTTGCGCCCGCAGAAGCCGACGGCGAAGGAGGACGAGGCCGCCGACACCACGCCCGACGCCATCTGCCCGCACCGGTCGACGCGCTGCACGAAGCTCCGCGGGAGGACCTCGGTCGAGCCGATGGAGTCGTGCGCCGCGAACTTGACGATGGCTTCTTGGCCGATGGGCCAGGTTATGTCTAGGGGCGGGTTAGTGATTGTGAGGAGCTAGGTATAGGGGTAAGAGTAAGAGAGGTAAGGATAAGAGTGAGAGCAAAAGCAAAAGCAAGTAAAGGGGTAGGTGCTTGGCGGGAAGAAGTAAAGAACGGGTAGATAATATAGAACTTACACCACTGCCCACAATACGACGCATAGCCCGCCCGGAATCCCGTCGCATCACTATACTGAAACACTGGTCTGCCGTTTGTGGTAACTAGCATGGTGATAAGCGTCGTCCGCGAGATGACGATGCAAGCGTGCGACTGGTGCCTCTTGAGCGCCCGCCGCTCGAGATGGATCCAGCTCCCCGCCACACCCTTACCCGCAGCGCTCCAGGCCACATCACTGCGATCGCTATCCGTGCTCTTGGCCTGGACCCTCGCGCGCGCGGCGGCGCCCTTCTCCGCAGCGGCGGAGTCGCTCGCCACGCCGCCGCCCAGCACGGGCTTCTCCTGGTTGAACATGGCCAGCAGGATGGACCAGCCGGCCTTGCCGGGGGGCACGACGGGGATGCGCGCGATGTGCAGCGCGTCGGTGCCGCAGAAGCCGCCGGCCATCTTGGCCGCGATCACCGGCCCGTGCGGCGGCGGCTTCGCGATCCGCCACCACGGGAACCCCGGCTGCCGCTGGAACCAGATCCCCAGGTACTCCGCCGTGCGCGTCGCGTGGTACGGGTCCAGCTGGTCGTTGATGGCGCTCGCTTGCGAGATCAGGCCGCCTAGTCCCACAGCCGTCACGCCGAACGAGAGCCACGCTGCGACTAAGTTGGCAGTGTCCATGCCGCTTGCGTCGCCCATTGTGCTTCGCCTGTTGAAGGACTGAGGGGGTTAGCTATGGGGTATATATGTATCTGTGCAACGAGTGTGGTAGGTGTGTTTGTATGTGTGTGCCAGTTATATGACTATAATGAAACCGTAGGTATAAGAAGTGGTACGTCAAAATCAGCTCTGATACAAGGTACAGTGTCTACAGGTTCGTCTCCTAACACGCGCCAATATAAGAAATAGGTAGTTAAGAGAGGCAAGCTCACGAGAAAACTGACCGACTTCAGACGCTCTAATAAGCCACGAACCAGCTCTAAGGGGACGCTGTACAGAGCAGTGGCTATGCCAGACATGTTTTATTTTATTTTTTCCACTTCCCCTCCAGCAGCCCAGCAGACTCCGGAGATAATTCTGAATTCTGTAGCTGAACGAACTGGCGCCGCACACACGACGGGGCTATTCGCGCGTATGCGGTCTAGTTGGGGGCCGGCCACATGCAGCTGCGCGGCAAAGCCCCCAAGCCCAAAAGGCCCTCCCCGCAGGCGTTAGCGGTTAAGCAGGACTTTGCGAGGCTTACGTATTGTACCTTGCTACTTTGCCAGTCCCGGGTGGGGAGGGCAAGGGCGGTTCCCTGTTTCATATGTACGGTACATTCGTCTCATCGAGCTACAGCATCTGAGAGCTCTTAGCATGATTTGTAAAAGAGCAGATTGCGGCACAGGGAAGGTTGCGCATGGCTTGTTGTGAAACTATTCACGAGCTAGGCGAGCACGGAGGAGCAGGGGTTGGGTTACGGAAGGGGGATAGCGGCATGCAAAGGGGAGGATCCGCCCGTAGGGCTAATCAAGAATATTGGCAACCCTCCATCTGGGAATCGTTCCCACGTGTATTGTATGGCCATATGTAAGAGAGAGGCATCCAATCTACAACATTGTAAACCTCGCAGTTGCTTATATTTTCTTTTCTTTATCATCATCATACGATCTACCTTTAAACACCAATGAAGTGGTACACTCTCGTCCTCGAAGTAACAGATAATGTGAATGGTCGCCTCATCTTCCTCAACTCGCTTAGTTTGCAACCCTACGAGCTTAGATCTAATAGCCATGTATTTAGAGATTGGTAGCAATTAGAGTGCGGCTCTTATAAGCGAGACAAGACTGACTAGGTACCTAGGTAGTCCTCTACTGTCCGCCCCCTACGAGCCAACTCACGTGCACCTGCTCTCGTCACGCTGGTGACATACAATACGATAATCCTTAAAAGGATGACCTATAAAAGTCTCAGTGTAGATTCTCTACAGATGAGTTTTGATGCTTCCTTCTAGTGATCAATATTATTATTATTATTCAACGATGGAGAATGCCCACCAAAAGGATTTGCTACCCAATGAATACCCACCGCGAACAGCAACTATAGAATACAGACAAGTGAAAAATGTCTTGTTCTGATTTCAAGATCTACAGTCATGGAAGGAATATTTTAGATCAATTTTTGATGAACACCTAGGGAGATATCCTTTTTACTCTCATAAGTAACGACTCGTTGACAGCGAGGACGTCCGGCTTGGTGACATAAACGCCTTGTTCGCACTCTAACGAAGCCAAATACACTCACTACCTTGCTGGTTATAACTACTGTGCCTATATCAGGCATCCATGGCAAATGTACATTACTCTGGTAAACTAGCAAGCATTCTTCCTACCTACTCGCCCATACGACTCCGTCATTATGTCTAGCGAAGATAGCTTACGACATTAGCAGAGCGTGCTTGATATAAATTTCTTGCTAGCACTCATCCAATCAAGAAACTAGATCTCAAACCTACAAATAATGGCGGGGGTAGTTCAGTTGGGAGAGCCTCAGACTGAAGTCCAACTTCGGGGAAACAAAATCTGAAGGTCGTGCGTTCAATCCGCACTCGCCGCATTAGTTCTGGATTGGGTTTGCTTTTTTTTTAAAACTGTCACCTCTTAGCTTTTCTAAACGAGCAGATATATATATATATACCTGGGTAATCTGCTGAGCATAAAACCGTACTCGTCATCTTTTAGACTCGCGCTTCTATTCCACGGCCGGTTCTCCTTTTTCTTCCCATTCCATTTCTTCAGCGGCAGCGAGGTGGACGGACAAACGATGCCCAATGTGCGCTCGAATAGCGTAGAAACAAGTGAAATCGGGATCACGCACAGCCAATCCACATCTTCCACCGGAGACGAGTGATTATACAGATTTAAACGCCTGCCAATGTAAGCAGGCCTCTCTTCTTATTAAGTCTTTTTCTGTAGTAGTGTATTTCATAAGCCATTAAACAAGTTTACAAATGCGGACCCGTTCTGTCTGGGTATCTGGTCGAGGGTAAAGTGGTTGCCGCCCTCCGTCTAGTGCCCCATATCCGTAGTAGAAAACAACACTCCTCCAGATGCTCTTCACTTGGGTAGAAGAAAACATGGGAAGAGAAAAGAAAAACCTCGACCGCAGGTCCTAATTTAGGGGGGAGCGGGGGGTATGCTTTTGTATGTCCATCCTATGCAAAGTGTAATTTTGGTGGCGGCCTTGGTGTTGCCGTAACGCCTTTGTTGAATAAAAAAACCCTTTCGAGTACCATTCTTTCTGATCTCTGCAAAAAAATTCAAATGTACCAAAATAATGCCTATGAGGCAAATGAACATTGGTCTTGGTATCTGCGACCCGAACCCTAGGGCTTTGCCCTGGTGTATGCCATTGCTGGAAAAGATCCAACGCCCAAGGCTCCATGATGCTATGCCATGCCCGCTCAAAATACAGAATCATGTCGAAATCACAAAAGAAAGGGGGTTGTGGGCTGGAGAGGCCCATGTCGTGGGTGTTATTGTATCGCGACCTCGGTCTCGTTGGGTCGTAGAGACGGGTTGTTCGCGGAATTCGGCTTCACAACTGTCTTGCCGGAGATGGCCACATTTCTGATCCTCTGGCTAAGAGGTAATGTGTATTTCAAGACTCCCTTGACAATTATTGTGAACTCGTCGGAAATAATGCGCTCCCACCGCTCAGAACCGCCGTCGGTGCCGTTACCAGGCCGACCTAAGCGTAGCGAACCGGTGGAAGTAGAAATGCCGGATTGGAAAAAGGATCCTTCGTATGTTAAAGGACTATCGAATACGACGATATTTCCGAGGCGCATATTCGGCGATTTATCCTCGGAGGGATCATCGCCGTCGTGATCGCCGTCCGGTAGATGGACGGCTGGCGGATCATTCTTAGGGTCATCAAGAATGTCAAAATCGTCATGACCAGGGTGTCGCCACCACTCCGAATCAGTACCGGCATGTGGAGATTTAGCAAATATCTCCAGGTCGGCGGAGTCGATCATGACAACGACGACGTTGGGGTTATGTGCTTTCACAGTGATATCCATCATTAATTCTTGTTCGCTGGCCAAAACGTTGCCAATCTTGACCAGTTCAATGTCGGTGAGAGGCTGAGATGTGGCAAACATGAATCCAATAGCTCCTGAAATAACGACAAGTAGCATCACAGTGAGAACCAGGCAGCTCGCAAAGCGGTTGAGGAATGAGGGACTTGGCCGGTACGTCTGCGCTTCGAGATTCCTCGTCTGCGGGTTACGTCTACTTCGATTCGATCTGATAGACCTAGCCGGGCCGTTTATGAGAGGTGTTCTTTCATCGTCGGCACCGGTAGTTGCGTCGTCCATATCATAGCTACCGGGTAGCGTCATCTGTCGTTTACTACTAGATGCCCAACCTCGTCCTGCACTGAATCTCGGACTCGGAGGGTTGGATGGCTGTCTTGCATTGTTCCCAGACAACTTGGATTTGGCTGCATTAGGGAAGGGAGACTCATCGCCAAACAGCGACAAATGGTTGTTACCGTTATTACGTCCCCAACGGCCAGGGTGGTGATGGTGACGGCCGGTTCCTCGTGCAGAGCCTACGTTGCTGCGACCCGTGCCTCGACCATCATCTTCTCCTTGCGGACCATCGGTTCCGCTGCTAGTGTAAGTATTCACAAATTTCATGTTCTTCTTAATCGGAAGAGTAGGCGTGCCGTTTTCCAGCATGCCCGTTATAGAGCGTAAGCCATTCCGATCAACTTGGCTGGCCATCGAAGTGGCACTGGGTGTGCGCGAGTGATAACGACGAGGGCGGTCAGTGGTATCCGGCGGGTTGGAATCGTAAACAAAAGTTTCGTCCGAATCTGACGAGTTAGCTTCCTCCACCGCGCTGGCAACTTTGGCCTCGAATATGTCTGCTTTGGAAGATGCTAGACGAGGCCCGAAAGTTAGCATATTAGTTACGGAAGTACTGATAGTAGAAGCTCTTGAAGCTCTTGAAGCCCTCGTGGGCATAATGGGACGTTGTGGGGGACTTGACTGTATTTCTGTTTCTGTTTCTTCGTACGATCCTTGACCGTACGCAGCAGATGTAGTTGTACTTGCACTTGTAGTTGTTGAATAGCATGAAAAGTTGGACTTGATCGAGCAACTATGCCGAAGCTTGTGAGGTGGGAAAGAATTAGGTATCTCACCATTGCCCGAAGCAACAGAGGTGGCTTTTCTCGTGTGCTTCTTTTTCTCCTTCTTGGGTTTGATAGTCTCCGTGCTTGGCTTCGTTCTGAGACTTCCATTTGCTGTTTGGCCTCTCGTGTTCGGAACCAAAGACATTTGTGGAAGATTCGTGATTTCCTCCGTCTCAACCGTCATGTTGGAGGTCGGTCCCTTGTTGCCAAACTTGAGCGCCGTGCTCGACTGTCTACTATGAAGTGAGGGTGCAGGCGTAGTTGTGCTCGTCCTTCTTACTATCGTTTTCGCATTTCCACCTTCGCTACCGCTTTCACTATTTGTCGCATTTTGACTAGAGCTGGCCGTCTTCTTGCCGCCACTCCCTGACTGCGCTGCAGCAGTTTCGGCAAGCTTTTCTATAGCAGCGTCGAGTCCGGATTTAGGCGAATTCGGCTGACTGACTTCCTGGACCGTCTCCAAAGTTGACGATCCATTGCTTGGCCCACGAGCTGGGGTCCTCATACCAGATGATAGCTGCTGCTCTTCCACCTCGTTGTCTGAGGTAGACTGCGAAGCAGATTCCACGTGCGGTGAAGGGGTTGCTCGTTGAACATTGATGGCGGGCGTTTCTGGCTCGTTTTTGCGCGACGATGAACCCGCTACCGTCGGTCGACCGATAATAGGAGGCGGGGATTTCAGTCGAGGAGACACAGGCCACTTAGGTGTATCTTTGGCCAACTCGGACACGACGGAAGGCTTCTGCGGAACAGGGGCTCGCAGTACAGGCTGCGAACTCGAGGGAGGGGGCAACGATGGGGTCGTGGCGGAAGAAAGTTGTTGTCGTGGGGTCGTAGACGGTTTGGGAAGACTAGTTTTAGATCTCGAGGGGCTCGGATCTTGAAAACTATTCTTGCGTGACCTGGTCGAGGTTATGGAAGCACGACTTGTTCTTCCTGACTTGAGAGAAGGACGTGTTGGTGAAGGATCTCTCGACTGCGCAGGCGACGCTGTCACTGAGGTGGATGCCGAAGTCCATTTGGATTGTTGCGAGTCGATGTGTGCGCTGGAAGTCGCGGATGTGTCATTGTCGGCCGAGTTCAGGCTCGACAGGCTGGCGTCCATGACAACAGGATTGTCCGCCATGTTAGTGGTTGGTTGGCTACTTTCCATTCAAGGGGTATCGGAGTCGGCGCAAACAATGGAACCACGTCTACGAGGGACATGCCACAACTTTGGGATTAGCTCGGAAGGATGACGGCAGTGGTTTGATAGAGGCTGATCATCGTGATGTGGCAGCAGCAGGTTCGCATGCGACTCTGTCTCGGTCGTACAGTCAAGGAAAATAAGTGCTCGTCGTATCCCCCACTGTGCTCTTCCCAATGTATTCTCGTGTGATGAATATCCCCAGTTAGGAATCCGCTGCACGCATTGACGAATAGAGCCTAGGGAGGTGGATGTGAGTTGTTTGTGTGGTGTCGTCGGGATGCAGAAAACTGCAAACGCGGGATTGGAGAGTGGACGCGGGAATCCAAGATGCCTGGATGACACAATAGTGTGGAGAGTTGCGGGTGCTTTCAAGGTGTACTGCAGCAGAAGACGGGGGGAGGGGATGTAGTGTCTGGGTGTCTGAGTGCCTGAGTGTTATTTAGTGCCCAGTAATCGTAACAGTATGCGGTACCCTATGTAAGTGTATGTAAGTCTAATGGAGTGGTAAGTGGGTGAGAGTAACGGTGAGAATCGGCGGTATACTATGTTATTAGCGGATAGAGGAAGGGCCAGCCGAAAATACAATGTACGGAAAATGAGGCGTAAATGAGAAGAGGTTGATTTGTTGATGGAAAAAAAAAACACGGGAAGTCGAATGTGTGTCTCTATGAATTGGTTATGGATCGAGTGAGAGCAACAAGGTTCTGGGAATGAATGATGTATTGCTCAAGTATCTTTACGGTGGTACAAAGTACACGCATACGACGGGATACGAAATTACTCCATTTAATCCGTCTAGCAGGTACATGGCTGCATGGGTTATTCAAGGCCAGAACGTTACCTTGTCACATACATACATAAGCACCGGGCAGATAAATTTAAATTGTGGCAAAAAGATGGATAGATGCATAATCAAGGCAACCAATCTGAAGACTTTGATGACATTTGATGTCATTACTTATACGTAGGCACTTTACTCTTTCTTTTTTTCCCTTTTAAAACATTGAATAATAGTTGTTTCTAGAAGTATTATCGCTAAAGAGAAAGGTGGTTTATCAAGCAAGAGACTTGATAATTATTCTTTTAACTCCGAGCGACTTGGAAAAGTGCTGGGCCTCGGTCTCTTACGCAGTATATCGGACGAGTTAAGAGACGCTACCTATGTACCTACTTACCGAGGTCCACGTATCTTTCCAACCTGAAATGTGAAGGGAAGAAATCC